TTATATAGAACCCCATAAGTACCCCCTACAATTTTTTGTATTTTCGTGTAGTCTTCCATAGTTATTCAACAGGTATGATAGATCCCAGTGCATTGTCCCTCGGTGGCCTCAGCAGCAGCTACCTTGACTGCATCTCACCTCCCAGTGCCCTCATTTTATTAGACATTCCTTTCTACATGTCTCTCCCATTAGACTGAGAAATTTCTAGGACTTCATGTACATGTAGTATATACACGCAAACATAGTATATACTACTCTGACATGTAATCACTTCACCTTACCTTATATACGTATATATTCACTACACTTAACACTTATGAGAATATAGAAAATTAGACTTTATTGTTGAGTAAACATATTCAGAAATGAGTAGGGCCATTTGCTGATAGAAATGGATCCCAGTCCAATTCTAGGGCACATTTTACTTCCACAGCAGGTGCTATTTATCATCTCCATTTAGCATCACTCGACATCCAGTAACTCCTGCATAGCCACTGTTTCATGTCATCCAGGTGTCCATCTACCGAGAGAGACACTGCATGTCCTCATGGCCTTTCCATCTAACTCTCCAAACTTCAGTTCCCCTAGGTGTCCAGTGAGCGATAATTTATTTCTCTTCCTCCCGATTATTTTAAGAAAATTATAAGTTGGTACTGCACAGAGGGAAGTTCAGTTAATCAGATAGACAGATGTGGGAAATTCTCATAAGAGACAACTCCATGTTAAGGTAGGGCATGTAGTGGGAAATCAGAGTGGAGTTAGTAAGGCTGTGCACACAGTCATGGCATCTGTGCGTCGGTCCTGTGTCTGCGTGGGCGTGAGAATGCAAGCACATGTGCTGTCTGCAGAACCAGGCACCTGTGGCTGCAGCAGTTGTGCTGCAACCAGGCATTTTTATTGCCTGCCCGCCCATGTGTTCCTCAGCACATGTGGCTTCTCTGTGGGTGTCCCAGTCCTGCCTGCACATGGCCTCACCGTGTGCATGTGGGCGTCCCGGATGAAGAGCAAGCTTCTAAATAAATAGCTTTTCCAGACTTCCATCCAGGGCCCAAGACCCTAAGTGAAAATGATGTCAAAACATCATTTTCTTGCTACCAAAATTGCAACTAGAAGGCATGGAAAAACCAGAAAGTAGAATGAGTAACCCACTACACACCCTTTCCTCTTCTCCTTCCAGTCTTAAAATGTTGTATAACCCATCTTTATCTTGTCTGTCCAGGTGGATTATTTTTCACTCTGCCTGAGTGTCATTAAATTGAATGATTGCTTTTGTGTTTCTATCTCTAAAAAGAAGTAGAGAGCCAGGAGACCTAGAGGAGATGGTGGGACATGTGTGTAGGGTCCAGGCACCCAATGCTTGCCCTACCTGTCAAGCCTCCAGGCCAACTTCACACCAGACACTGTGTTCTAAAGCAGTGTCCCCCTTCTCCAACATCCCCCAACAATAGGCCAACACTGTGAGAGAAGGGCCAAAGTTAAACCACATCAGGAATGATGATAGAACATGAAACAAATCAGTTATGTTTATGAATTGCTAAGTATAAGTTCAGTTTTTCCTGTATCAAGGTAAAGTTTGAAAAATATTTGGTAAAGTGAAAAATTTATAAAAACACACAAGGAAAAAAATCTGTGACAGTTGTTTTATGGAGAACTACTACTAATCGCAGAATCTAACGTTATCCCTTTCCAAACATCTTGACTGATACTTATATTTAGTGACCCAAACAACTTACAAAATGAAAAGTTCTTTGTTTTAAGTTTCCATTTTTGGGTAACTATGGGAGATGGGTTAAAAGACAAATGAAGGAGAGAGAGATTGATTTAATGTGCCTGAGAGACATTAATAGATTTTTATTCTTCTGTTGAGTGATAGCAATACAATACGGGAAGCAGTGAGATGCTGTCTCCTAAACGGGAAATAGAGGAATAAGATTTTTCCATCCATGGGAGCTTTGAATGTTTGGGAACACACAAAACTCCAGTTAAGTTCGCCTGGGTGTAATTTCATCTAGGCAGTTCTAGAATGTGATTTTAATTTAGTGACTGGAACCCAGTTGTATTCTGCTTTATGTGGAACCACACATGGAAGACAGTCAGTCTGGATAAATAGAAAAGGGAACTACAAGTGGCAGCCTATTCAGGAAAGTGGGGGCCGCAAAGGTTCCACTCTCTCCAGCGTGGTGTAGAGTAACGATTCTTCACCGTAGCATCACCTCTAGTGAGAATATTAAGGTTTGCTTAAGGTCATACTTATTGACATTTGTTTTATTCTCTGCTCACTAATTCACATTTTCATTATGAATTGTTCTGCTAATGAGAAGGTGGTACCCCCAGTGGAGTGGAGAAGCATCCTTATGCTAGAGCCTGGAGGAGGCATCTCCCAAGATAAGTGGAGGAAGGTGCAGCCTAAATGGCCCCACAGACTCCACTCGATTGTCATTTGACGAGCTTGTGTAGCGTGGCGCCATTTCCCAGGAGGGCGACAGTGGAGAGACACCGACATGGTGAAGGCCAAGTCCGGAACTGCATCACCTGGGAGGCCTCTCGGTGGATAAGAAAATGTGGTTCCTCTGGAAAGCACCGTAACCACGCTGAATATTTACCACGGCCAGGTTTTTATTTAGAAACAATGCAGGTGGAATGCAGTCAAACCTACTGATGCATGCGTGTTTCCAAAATTTTTCCTTACTGACACTGAAAAGGATTCTAGTTTGGCTGACTGTAGGCTTTTTCTTTTCCCCACCTTGCGACTGTAAGCAAGATTTTCATGGGTAGTTTTTGGGATTTTGTGATGAAGGGTTGAGAGCAAAGTGGGGTGGGCAGGAAGTAAGAGATCAAACCACAGTGTTTTGTAAGGACTTTTAAGATTAGCTGTGATCTGTGAGAGACGTGGTTTGGGAGAGAAAGAAGTAGCATTGAAGGACTACCTATCAACAGTATGGAGTTTAAAAACAATACAAGTAAAATACTAGGTATTCTGAAAGCATGGTGGTCAGATGGGACGCATTGAAAAAAATCCAGCAACTGTATGGATAAAAACAACATGGACTATAGTTCTAGGAAGATTCCATATAAATTGTCTTGCTTATTATTCTGACTCATTTGCCCTAAAACTTTGTTAATCGGTATTTTGCTGTTTGAGCCCAGGGAGCACTAAATCACGAGTTATTAGCTAACCTTTTCACATTGCTTAAGCTGCCGTATGTTAAAATAGACTGCTCTCCAGTGCCCCAGACAATACTTCCAGAGACCAATGGCCATTTTCACTCAGATGGCTTTTTAGTATCTCAGATTTTAATCATCTTACCACTGTACCTCCTAAATGTTTTCTCCTTTAGTATTCTATGTTTTGAAGAATCGTACCATTTTACGCTCAGATTTCTACATCAAACAACAGGGTCTTCTTGATATTTCCTTCTCTAATATGAAACATTCAATTTAATTAGTTCTAAATTTTAACCATTTATCTCCATTCTACTGCCATATGTCAGATCACCATTACGTTTCATCAAATAACTGAAACGTCCTTCTAACTGGTGACCTCTAGTGGTCCATACCTCTAGATGAAAATCATGCCACTATTTAATTGGGTTTCTATTTGTACCATGTCTTTCCCATTTAGTTCTCCCTAAATAACATGTAGAGGTTTCTTATTTGCTTTATTTTTTGTGTTTTATATTTATCATATTCATAATTTTTCTAAGACCTATATTTTAATATCTACCTTATTTAGTTTTCTCCTTGTTTAGTTTCTCTTAGGAATAAAAAAGCAATCCATCCATTTTTAAATTGTCCTTTCAGGTTAGGAGAATTTTTTTGTTGGTTTTTTTCCTGATTATCTCTCTGCTTTTCCTATATTCTGTTCCCAAACTCATTAGCTGGTTGTGGCATCACCTGGATTCATTGATTAAATCTTTTGTCTTGTCTTTTCCATTTCTCTTTCTTTCTATTGCAAGTCCTGGGAAAGAAATTAAATCATATATTCTTGCCTGTCTGTTGACGTTTCATTTTGGTGATTTATTTTTATCTCTGCCTGAATGTCCTCTTTCATTGTATGTCAGTGACCCAAAGTCCTATTATAGTAATAAACTTTTTTTCTGTACTCCTCCTGTTCTGCATTTTTTACCTGTCTGCTGCTCTCTTGGATTTTTCTACAATTTGTATTCCAGTTTATCACCTTCCCTTTTGCTACCAAAAAAAAAAATCCTGAAGGTTTTATAAGCTACTGTGAGGCATCACTTGGATCCCACAGAGCCTTGGAATCAGGTGGGCTTCTGTTCCCACTGCCTCTGTCACCTGTGTTGGTTGTGGGCACATCACAGTGTGGGGAATCCTGGGTCACATCACTGCCATAGGTGTTTGAGAGATAATGACTTCTGCTATAGAGAAAACAATAATGCTGTGATGCAGACACTTTTTCCTAAGTTCGGCTTTGTCATGGAAACATTTTCTTGACTCATGTTTAGTGAAATAAGTGGATTTTTCTATTAAGTGAAATAACAGAAAAATAAGCCAAATAATAGAAAATGTCACAACTGCTTTCTTTCTGATCTTGGTTTAATGTGTGGCTGACAAAGCAGGCAGCTCTTCACAATGTGGCAAACTCTCCCAGAGCAGTGATAGTGTCTCTAGATAAAAGGTTGGCACATTTCTATCTAAGGCAGACAATTCTAATGAAATTGACAAGTCAGTGCATTCAGAAGACAGAGCCACACCCCTTGACATAGGAACTTTTTGAGAAGTGAGAAAACAGATTTAGAGAAGTATTGGCAAAGGTTACACATCTAGTAAATGTCATTGTCTGGCACCTTCTGCCTCATGACCTCTCCGCAGTCGCTCTCTGGAATAACTTCCCCTCTGCCATTTCAAAGCCATTGGCAGGAGAGCCTGGTGGTTAAAAGCCTGGGCTCTAAAGCCAGACAACTATGCCTTTGAATCCCTGCCACCTCACTTGGTGACTGGGCCACTAGTGACCTGCCCCATTACTGTTACCATGGAAAACGATGATGCGTTCTAGACCCACGCTCCATTCCTCTCACCTAGAACTGTCCCGGAAGTCTGACTCTGGATTTTACCCACATGCTCCCTTGATCTGGTGCTTCTGGTTGATTTGAGCTAATAAGGAACTCTACAGGAAACTAGAACATTAGAAGAAAATAAGGGTAGGGTGTCTGCTGCCCCCACTTCTTCTCTGCGTGTTTCTTCAGGCTGGCTGGATCCTTCCGCAGAGGAGGATTCGGAAAGATGGTCCTCTCCACGCAACACCCACTCTATCTCTTTCTGACTTCCAGTAATCACTCCCGTTCCTCCTCCAGGGTTTAGGGATGGTGATGGACCCAAAGCTACTAGCACCAGAGTACTGCATTGTTGTGCCTCATGATATTTTTACACTCTGCTACACTCTGGTAAATAGTCCTTTTACTAAATTTTCTTCTTAAATTGTCTATTTTGAGTGAACAACCTTCCGTTTCCTGTTGGAACCGCAGAAAAACATCTTTATAAGACTCAACTTTCTTTTCTGTAAAATGGGTACACATATATTATTTGCTTCATACATTTATCATTAAAATTGAATGAGATAATGGCCTAAAGCATTAGGCATAGCTCATAGAAAGCACTTGAAGGGTTTTACTTGTTACTATGAATAGTAATAATATCATTCATTTTCACAGAAATTTGAAGTTCACCTATGGTTGTCTACATTTCAAAATTCTGTTTTTAACCAGCATTTATGATACTGGACTTTTCTACATTAACCTGTGTTGAGAAATGTTTGTTTTTCACTCTTTTCTTTTGCATGTTGTGTCATATAACCAATAATTTTCTTAAAAGATGACTAGTAGGCAATCATAGAGGCACATTCATTAATAAGAAGGCTGAGAGAGACCATGATTTGGAAAGAGGAATGAATGCGGGTTGCTAATAAAATATAATATACACACATATACAATAAAAAAAAGAAAGAAACAGTGCCAAAGGTAGGCAGGCATGCCTAAAACTCAAGATAGTTTAGTGGCTTATATATTCTCCATCCATGGAGATGTTAAAACAGAAATATCTTTCCAAATGGAGTGAGGCCAAATATAGTGCGAAATTTAGAAGTGAGAAATTCTCGCAGAAGTTAGTAAGATGAAGTAGAAGACTCTAGCTTTCCTAAAGTGTAATTCTGATTGATTTCAATAGACATAGAAAGCAACAGGCAGGCTACCCAGGAGCAGAATCTGAGTCTCCGGTACCTAACATCACATTGTTTCAGTGTACACTGATCTAAACACAGAGCACAGCTTGGTACAAGAAAGAATCTAAAACATCTCGGGAACAGATGTAAGAAAGCACTCATTTCTGTGTTAGCACAAATGTGGTTACTGTAGGCCACCACCGTCAGAACCAGAAGACATCTTGCTGGTTAACAGAAACCATATGCTCTGGTAAAGGAAGCCATGGATAAGTATGAATTATTTTCAGCTTAATGACCTTCAATTATCTCCCTTAATGATGACTCCTGGTTCCCTGCCATAATCTTTTTTAGGGTACTTACAGGAGAAAACAACAAAGGGGCATCATTAGTGATTTATGGAGGACACATACAAGTGTCTTCTATGGTAGGTGAGAGAAAGGGACACAGAAGAAAAAAGGAAGAGAGGGGCAGGTAAGAGAGAGGGAGAGGGAGAAGGGAGAGGAAGAAGGGAGTGCATAAGAGATTGAAAATGAACTCATAATCAAAACTAAAAGCACAGGAAATATAGTTATGTCGGTAGAGTCCTGGCCAGGAGCCTGGAGTTCTAGGTTCCAGTCCTTATTTTGGGACTGACTCATTGTGACACGGGGAACCAACTCAAAATACATTGTTATAATCCAATCTCTGCACTTTATTATCCCAAGATTTCTCCACCATCGCAAAATGGGATAAGCTTATCGATTTTTTAATTTGTGGAGTGCTGTGAGACTTGATAGCAGTAAATGCAGTGGTTATATAAAGATGAACATGACTTTCAAGAAACTTACAACAAAGACAAGACACAACTACAGAGGCAAAATGAGCACAATGCATCATGGCAAGATCTATGCGGTAGAATTGAAAATTACAGTGAATGTTTACATTAAAAAACATTATAGTGAAAGATAAATTGCCATTAATCCCTCTCAGGCTACTCTGCCACGCTTCAAAGATGCTTATCCCATCCTTGCTGTTTTCTGAAATCTTCCAGAAGTCCTTTTGTATCTTTAGTTGTCTGTCACAGCTGCCTTGATAAGATGAATGAGGACACACACTAATATTTTCATGAACCTGCCTTTCTGTTGAATGCTTTTGGAGGCAGCATTCACCGTATTTTAAAATATTCCACATAAAGTCACTCACAAAAGGGCTCTTCCAGAACTGCTTCAGAAAGTGGCAAGGACAGTGGGACAAGTATATCTGAAGCAAGGGGGTGCAGATTTAGAAGGTGATTCATGGCAATGTGTTTTTTACTGTAGTAATTTAAAAAAATTAAATATTCACCATATATTGTGATCACCTCCTTTAAACCACTATTTCTTTATGAATCTGATGAAACCACTCAGAATGGTGGCCAGCACAAGTGCCACTCCCTTTTGGATCTTTTTCTTGATCTTAAAAGCTCTAGCAGAACTTGGTTTGCTTTTGTTATACAAAATGATATGAAAACTTAACCACATAGCAAGGCAAACGTGAAATGGTGAATGAATGGTAGAGTAAGAGAGCACAAGGTGATCATTTTGGGATGAAAAGTCTACTGGGAATAGCACTGAATCACCCAAACCTAATCCAACTGATGGCCTCCAAAGTCTATTAGATTAAATTCTTGGTCTGATCATCCTGTAAGTAAAGAATCGTATCTCAGCTTATTCTGAAGATCTAATACGCTCTTTAGAGTTCAAGCTAGAATAAGTTCTTAGATTAATTTTGGGGCTGTAACATTTTGATCTTCTGAACAGAAATTATAGCATTATCCTTTGAAACTACTAAATGTTCTCCTGTTATTCTTTGTGAGATCTTAGGAAATAAATCCTGGATGAATGTGGCAAGAAAGTCTGTAACACAGTCTGTCCATGGTTACTAAGGTAGTGCAGTCTCACTAACCAGAAGATGAGTTCTTTGCATCTAAGAAAGAGAGTTGGATTCTATTCTGTGTCATCTATCATAAGCCTTTGGCTGTAGTTCAAAAGTTTAATGTTTATTACAGGCAATGATAGAAGAGGTAAGAAGAACCCACTTGTGATTTTCCAGATCTAAGGCTGTGTTTTGAACCACCACTTAGAGAAATGCTTTGACTTAAGAACTGAGCCAGCTTGATTGGGAACTGTCACCACCAAGAGAGAGATGTCTGGAATACTGCAGTGTCATTTCTGGGTTGTCTGTCTTTAATGACTTGCTGTCCATTACTAAAGAGAGACAAGTAAATAGCGTGTAGGACTGGAGGCTACATGAAACTGTTAGGGCTGTCACAGCAGGCAGAAATGAGACCACCAGGCAGACACGAGACCACCCAACACAAACCATGAGTTCTCCTTAGCAAGATCCTTTAGACTATGTGCCCTTGACATTTGCAATTCAGAATGCTGAGCCACCAAGCATGCTGTGGGATTATTACTGCTTTGTGATGATATTTAGTAACTCTCGCAATGTGGACCACCAGTTCTAGTTTGGATTTCTTCTTTTCATTAGCACCATCTGAGAATGTCTGTGGTAGAGACTTTGGTGAATGTCGTCTGTCCTGTGGCCAACGGGATGAAAGGAAGAGCAACTTAGTGCATTAATATGAAGTAATTCAGCGAGAAAAAGCCCATGACACATGTCTGAAAGAAGCTTCATTGAGGCCTTTTTTATTTTTTTCAAATAAGACTAACCAGACTGTTTTATTACTGCTTATTGAAGCTTGTATGCTCTATATACAAATAGCTTTGTACTTATTTCAGAGACATAGTGGGGTCTTTTATCTAATAATTTTTTTTAAGCTAGTGTTTTTGTCTCACATTGACCTGGTGTCTCCTGGCTAAAAAGAAAACTTTTTTCCCTAAAATATCAATATAATTAAATTAAGCTATTTTTATTTTTTGGTAAAGGAGAATTTAGTTAGAGTTTTTATTTTATTTCCTTGCTTTAATTTCATTTATTCCACCTGTTATACTAAACATCATTATCAAATTTGTCAGTGTGACTTTACCGATACTTTGTCTGACTCATTTTCTCCCTGGTAAAAAATTAACTGTTCAGGTTTTTTGTTTGTTTCATTGCATTAATTTACTTATTTATTTTTGCTGGGTTTTTTTATATGCTCTTCTCCTATACTTAGTTTTGTGAGTAAACATTTTGTTGGAATTTATTTTTATTTATTTATATTTTTCTCATTGAGTTTATTGGTCCATTTAGGTATACAGTACAGTTACATTCATTATTGGGATCTTGTAGCTTTACATGACAGGTCTTGGTTCTCGTTTTTCCCCTTGTCCCTGCCCTCCCTTCACCCCTTCCTCCCTTCCCCATTGTTGGAATTTATTTATAGATTTCCCTAGGCACTAGTAATCAATTGACCAACTACATATCTCTCTCAACTTTATGATTTCAGTGACTTTTAAATTCATTGTTTTTTTCAAGGAAGTTTCCATTCTTTTGAAAAGTTTGGATTCCAAAGAGAATGAATAACTCATCTTCACATCAGTAAGTTACCATCTCACTTTTCTACTTGGAATTTATTTAGAGTGCAGGTCTATGTATTGCAAACATAAACTAATAAAAATAATTGCATATCTTGTATAATTGATTTAGTATTTATTACTGCCTTTGTTTATGTAATTGCCTTTGGTGGAAGAATCCACGCATTACTTTAACATTATTATAGAGAGGTTAAATAGTGTATCTATTACATAAATCTCTTGGTTGGAAACCTTGGACAAAATTAAATGAAGACGGAGATAACGTCCATTGAAACCAACCCCAAAGCAGTGTTAGTAGTACTGGAGTCCTAAAGTCTGTTGTTCCAAAATCAACTGTGCCACATTATAGGGAAGATTCAGATCCAGTTAACATTCATTCAGAGGACTACATCTAACACTTTCCAATTCAACAAGAGCAGGGTGTATAGGCAACTCATAGTGGACAACTATAAACATTTGACAAATGAATGGCAGGAGCGTAACATAACTAGAGAAAGTAACAAGTCAAAAAAGAGGCAAAATTTGAAGAAGGTCATGGATTTTACTTTAGACCCCTGTTATAGCTCCAAGTGAGCATAATCTGTTTTGGAACCCACCATCTATCCACTATTTCCAGTAAGTAATCCCAAGCTGAATTCCACCCTGGAATGTTGAGGGTTCCAAGTACTAAGTTATTAACCAGCTATTGAACTAGCTACAGCTACAGATTTCTCATCAACTCACACAGGCCTCTTCTGACCACCATTTGCTTTGCATCCTTATGAGAAACTTGGAATCTCTCATACGTATGTAGCTCCCAGTTTACACGTGTGAGTCTGTCTTCTTTCTTACTCAGAAGTTCTGTTTTCCCATGCCCTGCATGGTTCTTCCATCCCCAGGGGCTGATCTGTCCATTTCCTGTGGGGTAGAGGTTCCGCCCAAGTGTGTGTAATCACGAGGTTCCCTTGGGACCTGAGGTTGTGGGAGGGGATAGATCTTGATGCCTGGTGTACAGTTTGTGTCTCAGGAGAAGAACCATAGAAAACAATTAACTGAGCATTTGTCAAAAATACTGGCACGTGCACATGTCTCTTAGCTCCCCAAAGATTTGTCTTCTGCTTTGCTGACCTCAGGATGCTGGCCAGCCAGATGGAAGGACTGCCAAGCACATGCAGCTTGCATAGCCAGAAGATCACTCTGCCTATCTGGAAATCATACCTTCACTCACTGGGGAGGTTCTGGGTGCTCTTTACATCCTAAGAAGCAAGGCCCTCCCAAATGATTTCAAGAGCACTCGTGGCCAATGACTAACAATTATGCTAAATCAAGGTATAATTTTAAAAATATTTTCTCTTTTATTCATATTGTGTATCTTTTATTTTTGCACTTTGTATCTTGGTTTTTCATATAAGAGAATTGATGTGACAGTTAAGCTTGTGTGTCTAATTTACTTCACTTAGCATTATGGTCTCAAATTGCATCCATTTTCCTACAGATGACTCAAGTTTATCCTTCTTTATGGCAGAGAAGTACTCTGTTATGTATAAATAAAACATTTTCTTTATCCATTCACTTGCTGATGGACATATAGGCTGCTTTTATGATTTAGCTATTATGCCTGGCACTGCTATAAACATGGGTATGCATATATCACTGTGGTATGATATCTTTTACTCTTTCAGCAATATACTTAGAAAGTACCTGGGTCAAACAGAATTTCTAGTTTTAGTTTTCTTGAGGAATCTTCACAATGATTTCCATGGTGGTTTTGCCAGCTTGTACTTTCACCAATAATAAAGAAGTGTTCCTTTGCCCCCTGAAAAGCATTTTTTTATTGGGTGATTTCTTGATGATAACAATTCTTTCTCGAGTGAGATAGAATCACAGTGTTGTTTTAATCTTCTTTTATTGGATGGCCAGTGATGTGGACGATTTTTCATGTATTTATTGGCCATCTGTACTTTTTCATCTGAGAAGTGTCTGTTCACTTCAAATGCTCCTTTTTACTGGGTTTTTTAATTTGGGAAATCTAATTTTTTGAGTTCTTTATATAGTCTAAATATTAGTCCTTTGAGAAGTAGCTGGAAAAATTGTTTACCATTCTGTAGGTTGCCTCTTGCTTTGTTGGTCATTTCCTTTGCTGTGCAGAAGCTTTTTAATTTGATGTGATCACATTTTTGAACTCTTGGTGCTATTTCTTGTACAACCGGTTCTGTTTATAAAGTCTTTGCCTACACATGTGTCTTTCAGTTGTGCCTATTTTGTCTTTTAGCAGATTAAGTATTTCTGTTTTAATAGTTAGATCTTTGGTCCATTTTGATTTTAGTTTAGTGACTGGCGAAAGATATAGGTGTAGCTTCTTCAGCATGCAGATAGCCAATTCTCCCAGCATCATTTGTTAAAGAGACTATCCAACTGAAAGGGATTCAGTCAGCCCCTTTGTCAAAGATGGAGTAGCTGAGTGTGCGTGGAGTTGTTTCTGCATCCTCTATTCTGTTCCATTAATTCAGGAGTCTAGCTTTTTTTTTTCTTTTGTCACTGTAGCTTTGTAGTATAACTTGAGGTCTGGGTGTCAAAACAATCAGCTTAGTTGCTTATCTCATTCAACATTTGGGAAGATTTCTCTGCTCATGTCTTAAAGTTGTATCTCTCTCTGAGATCTGTAGTGCCATTTTCTGCTCTTTTCAAGAACGTATTCATCTAAGAAGAAAACTGAGCAGCTGCTCTATTGGTAGGGGTGTGCTAGACACTGGAGAGCCAGCGGTGCAGATGACAAGTGCTGGTCCTTCCTTTGGAACCTCATGCTCTGACAGTTCGCTTTATTCTCTTCTACCAGATGTCCCCATTCTCTCCTTATCTGCTGTTGGAATTGCTCCAGATTCCCTCCTCAGTGCCTCTCTGGGGATCCCTCTGTACTCCCAGGGCTTTGGTGCTCACAGGAATACAAGGAATTCCAAATCCATATTCTTTGGCTTATCAGCAAAGCGTTTGACACCCTCAGAATACTGGACTCAACCTTTTCACTCTTATCTTTCTATTCTCTCACATCCTCTGTGCTCCTCCTACCCGTAAAGGGATCCAAGGCAGAGGCTTTTTGTGTGTGTGTGTGATACTTTAATCTGCTTTTGCTCATTTTTGTATCAATGTCTATAACAGTATCTGGCACATAAAACGCTCAATAAATATTTATTGAGTAATGATGGAACTGCTTCCAGTGAAGTCAGATGGCTCTGACCTCTCCAAACACAGGACCTGCTTATTTCGGTACCTTTCTCACATAAATTTTTCTTGCAGCATCTCTACCATCTGTAATCCAATCTTCCTGCAAGACTCAACTCAAATATCATTTCCTCTGAGACCTCTCTTAGCTACCACCCAGCAGATTTAACCCATTCATTATCTATCCTGTGTTATATCTTCTTTATATTCCTGCTTCAGCACTTCGTTATGCCATGTAGTAGAGTTAGATAGATATGTTTCTTATCTCCTCCTGCAAGACTACTAAAGTTACCGAGGCTAACTCAGTCATTGGTGTCCTTCCTCTGCATCTTCAAAGAGCCTGGCAAAGTGCCTTGTAGAATTTCATTAAATCCTAGCCCAAATATATAAATTAACCACTTTCAGTTGTGTAATTTATACATTACCTATGTGTGTAAAACTTCCTAATGCTTTCTCTTCAGGAAAGTGAGGGTCTATTTCATCACTATTTCATCAATAGTGTAGTTCTGGAGAGCTGTCAGGAGGTTTAGCTTAAAGGCGGTGTTGGATGGCACAGTGGGTGCACCTCCTGCCTTTTCCAAGGATGGCCTTCGGGATCTTCAACACTGTGAGACTACGTGATCCTATCTTGAGTTTATGTGACCTAGGCTCAATGAACTCAATTACATTGGTGAAGTCATATGGACCCACCTCCATACCCTTGTGTAAATTGACCTTTGCAGAAAAAAGTATGCAAGAATAAATACAAGGATCCAGAATAAGTTTCTAATTTATAAGTTTTAAAATTATTCATCCAAGTTTATATGGAGATAGTTGAAGTTTATTTCTAATGATTCAGGTAGACAAATTTTTGAATATATTTATCACATCCCATGTGTTAGAGATCAACAGCCACATCCAGACTGGGCTTTAGCAATGCTGGTCCGGGTCCCTCTTTTATTCTCCCACTAACATACAGTGATGATAATCTACTATTTTTCTCTTCACTTTTTTTGGTTTGGCTTCTGATAGGAGACTGTAAAGACTAGAACACACATGTAATTTAAGAAGCTGCGACATGCAAATTAACTTCTCCAACCTCTAGAATATATAAAATTCTACTTTCCATAGCTTGCAATAAATTAAAAATTCAAAGAACTGTAGCTTCTCAAGGACAACTGTGACTTTGCAACTGAAATATATTGGACTAATGAAGACAGTATGGTTTATCACTGGCCAACTGCTTGCCAAACCAATGCACTTTTCTTCCTGGACATACAGTTAGTGTTTTTCTGTCTCTGTTAAATGCATGTCATATGACTGGCTTTAGACATTGAAATCTGAGGGGAAATGTTGTGTACAACCTCAATGCCTGCCTCAAAGGAACTATTAAGAAAGACAGTGGTCAAATAAATGGTATAAGGATCATGATACAGGGTGATATGCATTAGATCTCTGACTTCTTTAGCTGACATAGAGTTAGAGTCAAATTAGTTTGATCCTAATGCCCATGTTTTAAACCACTAGTTAATATTATCTCTGATTTGAGAAACACATCTTGACCCCGAGGCACATACAGCCTCATTGTTACTTTCTCTGAATTTCTTTCAAGAATCAAAGTCTAGCTAAATTAACTTAGACTTTGGGGAGTCCACATCTGTGTCAGAGATGTGAACTGATTGAGAATTAAGACAAGGTGGCAGGTCAAATGGGAGCCAAACTATGACTTTCATTAATGATAAAGTCAATATTAAGGTAGTACTTTTATTGATAGACAACTGAACTTTCTAATATTGAACTCTAGACTGAGCTAGCTTCATGTGTGTGCAATCAATGTGATTGCATAAGGTTTCATGATAAAAATACTCTCCATGCTCGTATTAAATGTTCTTTGGTTGCATTCTTAAAATTCTTAACAATTTCATGTTTGAATGCATGTTTTTGCAAATTCCAATGTGACAAAAAACTATGCTCCTGGTGTTTAGTGTCTTAGTTCCCAGCAGGTCCCTACTCCAGCCTCTTCCCCCAGATAAGTCATCAGCCGTTTCCCTGCGTACTAGGACTCTGTCCTTCCTGTCTTCCCTTCTTTTCTCTATGACCAATGTAGGCAGGAGCCTAGCATGTGTTTGGAACCGGACAGGAGTGAGTGCATTCATGCTCAATAAGGGAGCAACTCAGGAGTGGCTTTTCCCAAAGTGGGCTGGCAGCAGATTGGTGTATATAGTGAGTGACCATCAGAAGGTCACATGTTTAGAAGGGAAAGGCTTTCAAACCCCTTTCCTCCATATCAAGTCAAAGCTTTGAGCATTAACCAGTGCAGAGGTTTAGAAATCTTTGGGATTGACTGCTCTGTCCTGGGTTGGGGTTTTGGAACTGTGGGAAGGAGAGACAACTGGATCAATTCCATCCAATTTTATGTCTGTCTGGGAATCAGTGCATGTATCCAGTGGCTAATGGGAAAGGAAAATATTAACACTAAGCAATTCCCTATTTTTCTATTTATCTAGGTCTTCTCTTTTGGGGGTCATACTGGGGATTGAACTAGGGTCCTTGTGCTTGCAAGGGAGGCCACTGAACCGCTGAGCTAAATCCTTGGCAATCTAGGTCTTCTTTAATTTCTTTCCATATTGTTTCATGGTTTACAGTATACAGTACACATCTTAAACTTTTTTGTTAGGTTTATTCTTGAACTTTTATATTATTTTAGGCTGCTGTGAATGGAATTGTTTTCTCATTTTCAGTTTATGATTAGTGTATAGAAATGCAACTGATTTTTGTATATTAGTGTTGTATCTTGTAACCTTGATGAATGGATTGTTAGCCCTAGTTGGTTTTGGGTAAATTCCTCAGGATTGTCTATATGCGAGATCATGTCATCTACAAATATTAGAATTTCTTCATTGCCAATCTGGTTGCCTTTTTCTTTTTCTTGCATAAATACCTGGCTAGAACTGCCACTGTAATGTTGAACAGAAGTGGAAAGAGCAGACTTTTTTCATTTATTTCTGATCTTGAAAGGAAAGCATTCAGTTTTTCATCCTTAAGAATGATATTGGCTGTGTTACTTTCACAATTGACCTTTAAGTGTCCTCTATTGATAGTTTGTGAGTGATTTTCTTTCTGGCCAGTTC